TAATCGTGTACCGAGTAAAAGTGTGTCACTCACTCCATACGAGTTGTGGAATGGGAAACCACCCATTTTGGACCATTTACGCCCTTTCGACTGGCTATGTGCATAACCAAACTCACAAGTATGGAAAGCTTGGTCCAAGAGCTACCAAAATAGTGTTCATTAGATACCCTGAACATTCAAAGGGGTATGTTATGTTTGGTGAACATCCAGATGGTGGAATGACTGAGCTAGACTCACGCAATGTCGATTTTTTTGAGGATGAGTTCCCAAGTATTGGTGAAATTAAGAGAAACCTTCAGTTGTATGAGTTACAACAAGAAATGCAATTATCTTTAGGAGATGAGGGGGATATGTTACCTCAACAGGTCTGCAAAGATAATGAAGTTCTTCTAAATTCCATTAGTGAAATGCAAGTATCTTTAGAAGATGAGAGGGATATGTTACCTCAATAGGTCTCCAAAGATAATGAAGTTCTTCTAAATTCCACTAGTGAAAAAAAAAACTCAAAATGAGGATGAGCCTCATAGAGTAGAGCACGAGATAAGTCATCAAGCTCATAGTCCCATGCCTCTCGAGGACAGAGAGAGAAATTTTTCTACTAGTTTGGAAAATAATGAAGGTCCTACTTTGAGAAGGAGTGATCGTGGAAGAATTCCTCGTCGATGTTTTCAAATTGAGGAGGATGTATTTCTTTGTACTCCTTTCCAAGTAGATGAACCAAACTCTTTAAAGAGGCAATGAATTCACCATATAATTCAGAATGGAAAGATGCAATTAATGATGAGATGGACTCAATGATTAAAAATAATGTTTGGGAACTTGTTGACCTTCCACCTCATCTTCGATCAATTGGATGTAAGTGGATATTCAAAATCAAACGTGGGGTGGATGGATCAATAGAAAAGTTCAAAGCTCGTTTAGTAGCGAAAGGTTTTACCCAAATTGAAGGTATAGATTACGATGAGACATTTTCTCATGTGGTGAGATTTGCCTCTATTCGTCTTCTTCTGGCCCTGGTTTCCCATTTAGATTTAGAATTATTTCAAATGGACGTAAAAACAGCATTCCTCAATGTTCTCTTGAGGAAGAGATATATATGGATCAACCTATTGGGTTTGTCCCAAAAGGGCAAGACAATAAAGTTTGTCGCCTCAAAAGATCCATATATGGTCTCAAGCAGTCTTCCAGACGATGGTATCTCAAATTCCATGAAGCCATTTGTGCATTTGGTTTGACCATGGTTGATGAGGATCACTGTGTATGTCAAGAAAAGTGAAGAAGGAATTTTGTTTCTTTCTTTATACGTTGATGACATATTATTGACTGGAAACGACATGAGAATGTTCAACGACACTAAACAGTGGTTGTCCTTTAACTTTGAAATGAAGGACATGGGTGAAGCTAAGTATGTCCTAGGAGTGGAAATAATGAGAAATCGTCCTAAGAAAATTCTTGGTTTATCTCAAGAAACATATATTAAAAGAATCTTAGAACGTTTCCGAATGCATTATTCCAAACCCGCTGATACTCCAGTCGTTACCAAAGCAACCTTGGCCTGCACATTGGCAAGCTGTCAAGAGAATCTTGCGGTACCTGCGTGGTACAAGTGACTTGGTACTTTGCTATCAAGGTGGGTCCTTCAAATTAAAAGGATACTCGGATGCTGATTGGGGTGGTGATCTGGATGAGTCAAAGTCAACTTCAGAATATGCCTTTATATTTGGTGGAGGTGCAGTATCCTGGTGCAATAAAAAACAAGATTGCATAGCCCTTTCGACTATGGAAGCTGAGTATGTTTCCAGTTGCATTGCCGTTCAAGAGGCAATATGGTTGAGAAATTTTCTACAGGATCTCAACCTCACCCCAAAGGTTGATGAACCTGTAGAAATGCATTGTAATAATACTGCTGCTATCCAGTATACCCAGGATCCGAAGTTTCACAAAAAAACCAAGCATATCAAAAGACGTTATCATTTTGTACGAGACACAATAAAAAATAAAGAAGTTGTCATTACGTATATACCCACAAATAAAATGATAGCTGATCCTTTAACCAAACCTATACGCAGAGATGCTTTCCAAACTCATGTGAAGAGTCTTGGTTTGCGTAGGTTTTAATTTTATTTTTGTGGGAAAATGGATGTGTATAATGTTACACCGAACATATATGAAATTTGTTGTTCTTTGATATGTTCTTTAGCATATGTTGCATAAGTAGGCATGAGTAAAGATGTCACTAGGCTTTTGATTACGCTTATCACATAGGTAATCGCCCTATCACATTAGTTGTGAGTAATAGGATGAGACTATGTCATATTCATATTAAGTGTATGTAATATTGCATTTGTTGTATAAATATATTTTTACAGTCACCTCAGTAAGTCTAAGATGAGACTCTATCGAATCGAATATGAAATAATTCTGATTTCATATCAAAGCCTTGAAGCCGAATCTCGAGTGGAAGATAAATTATTAAGTATGTTTATCAAGTGGCTTGGGTTAGATACTCGAGTAGTATCTAGACTATAGATTTGTATAACATAGTAGAGTGACATGCCCATCATAGTGGGAGCTATGTTATGACACGTATTTCATACTGCGTGTGCTTTGAACGACCGTTAAAGATTGACAAATGATTCTCTACTTTGTCAAGGTGTGAATCCGATGGATTTTGTTGTCCAACTTTGTACGAAGCCTTTTGACTTAGAACTATGTTATGAAATTGAGACTTAGTGTTGCTACTTTAATATGTCATCCAAGAGCTATGATCGATACAGTTCGACGGAGCATGTTAGGAAAGCAACTAAGTTGAGATGAAGTTTCATTAGTGTCTAAGAAATAATTGATTCAACTTCACCACATTAGCCCGGGCGGTTATATTTGAATATAACCATGTTGTGTATATAGCATATAGGGATTGTGTATGCTATCGGTGATTTTTGAACAGTTAGAGGTTGTCGTAAGTATAAGGTGTTATGTTAGTTAGATGGTGACTTAATATAACACTGTTATTGTTGGGTCGCACGCTCTATTACCCGTATGAGGCAAAAGATTTGTTAATAAAGATTTATGTTGATGATATTGTCTCGGCTTAAGTGGCTGAGTGGGAGTATTGTTTTTAATTGATGTTATGTTGCATCAATTAGTAACATCCATTTAAAGGTGGTGGTGTTACAACTTCATATCCATTATGTATGGAGTTATGAAGTATGAATTCATGTCTTCATTAAATGTGAATTCATGTCTTCGTTTAGTTCATAGTTGTATGAAGACAACTGTAAATTGATGCTTTGTGCATCATGAAAAGTGGACAATACGAGAAGAAGAAAACAATTAGAATTGATATCATTATAAATAATCTTTAAGTGCATAAATCTCTTGTTGAGCCGAAACCATCACAAGGCGGCTCGGGTTTTAGAGCGTGGAGGATACCGACGACTCTAGTAACCGTCGGATAAAAGATACGGGCAAGTATTTGCTTCCGCTACATAAAGGTTAGTCCTATATATATATATATATATATATATATATATATTTATATATGTGTCATATAAAACCACTAACACATTTTTTATGTATATCTATGGACAAGTATGTGAGTGTATTGCATTATTGATTGAGATCGAAAAATAAAAAATGAAGATCGATAGAGTGAAACAAAAGGGAGAAAATCTTATTCATTCAGGCGAGAGAATATGAACAGTAAAAAAAGTGTTTGGCTCTTCTAGGTCTCTCTCTCTCTTTATACTACAATACTTAACAATTATAAGAGTCGAATACTTAAACACGTTTTCTAGAAATAAAATTACAACTTCACTATAAACAATGAAAATTACATAAAAAAATAAATAATCTATTTACTATTACCCCCAAGAGGAGCATGTATATTACACATGCTTATGTTGGAAGTGACCGTAAAAAATGCAGCATTAGGGATTACACACATAAATGTTTCCAAAAAATTACATTTAAAATTATATTAAATGTCACATTTGGTTTGCATATTCGAATTATAAGTTAGAAAGAGAAACAAAGTTTCACGGCCAAACGTTCCTCTAAAGAAAATCTCTCCAACAAATTATCCAAATAAATTTCAGATAAACATGGTAGGTATGTCTGATTTATTTACTTACTAAGTTCTTGAACAACCAACCAAAACTCTAATTTATAAATAATTTTTAAATAATAAACAATCCTTTATAGATGACACCGGATTTGAAGTGAATTTTTCATAGGAAATTTGTACCATAAATAAGAAATTCAAATATGTACCATACGGGATTTATAATATTTGAATATGTTAATTTTTACTATCCTTAATTATAAAAAAGATCTAAAGTGACAATTATTTTATAACGAGTGAAATAAACATATAAATTATATATTAAATTATTATATGATATAAGATAAAATAAAAAATAATTATTAACATTTAAAATTATTTTTATACTAATCAATATTCCTTCATTGCGTTAATACATGCAATTTATGATTATTGTCCTGTGCATCGCACGGGCTACGTACTAGTTTTTGTATATCAAGTAAATGCAAATTTTGACACGGTAGTTTAATTTTTAAAATATAAAAAATGTAATTACATTCAATGTTATTTTTATGTGTATGTATCATGTAAATACAAAATAGTTTAAGTTTTAAAATATAAAAATTGTGATATTTTTATGTATCAAGTAAATACAAAATGGTTTAATTTTTAAAATATATACGTGTTAATTTCATGTATCAAATAAATACACATGTTTACTGTCTAATACACTGTTTGTCTTTAAACAGTGCGCTTCACAATAGTCCTTCCACGTCACAAAAAATTGGACAATGATAGAGTCCATTGGAGATAAAAATATGAAAACATTGTTTTCAATAATGACACTGACATTCTTTTTTTCCCGGCATTGGAGATGGTCTAACAAATCTTTAACATAGCCGTTCGTAATATAATTGGTGCTCTTTATTCCCACCTCACCTAAGGCCGAGAAAAGAATATGTCGAGTATCTGGCGGAGGAAAAAAGAAACCTCACAAAAAAGGGTTGCTGGAGAAAAGAAAAGGAGGGTGCAGACATAGATCTACATTTTCAAGTTGTTGAAGCATGATCCTCCACCACCATCGCGCCACGCTGCATCTCGCCACCCTCTGCCGACGAACTCGCCACCACCGCCATCGTTTGTCGACGCACTCTTCTACACAGTGCCCTTCCTTTTGTCTCTCTGGACCTCCTCCAAGTCCGCATCTCGAACAACGCCATTACCTTCAGTCATAACCAGTCGACGTTTCTCCTCAGCTGCCGCAAATAAGGCCCACTTCTCCAGGTACTTTCAGATCCTTATACATTCTGTTTGTGCTTTTATTTGTATGGTCTCTTCATCTGACCAGCTCTAAATTCTAACCTGCTACTGCTCATGGGCAATTAGTTCAATGAGTAAAAAATGGATTTTTTTGTTTGTTTGTTTACTTTTGTGTTTTATTCATTTTAGTTGGGGTTTTTATGTTGGACTGAATCGTGTTCGTCTTTAATTTTTTGGATCAGTTTCTTTACGTGTTCAAAATAAGTCAAAAAAATAAGGTAAAACATGTAATAGCTCAATTTTTAATAAGTGTTGGGTCAGGGGCGGAGCCACCCATGGGCTAGGGTGGGCTCCAGCCCCAGGTAAAATTAAAAAAAAAAAAAAAAATTATATTTTACATTATTTTTGTTGTTAGCCCCATCTAATTTTTAAGTTAGCCTATTGTTTAGCCCACACAATACTAAAACTCCAAAAGAGAAGCCCATAAAAACTAAACCCAATACTTCTTCTTTTTTTTATGGCCCATTTATCCCAATCTTGCGCCTAAAAAATATTAAAAGACCAAAGAATTAAAAAAAAAAAAAAAAA